AATCCTAACCTTGCATTGTTTGTCAGCATAGTTAGGTCCGTTGGCGGTAATCATGTTGATAGGCCGATCCGACAAGAAATCCTTTACTTCACCGAGAACGTTTTTCGATATCAAATCCTGAGCACTGCCAGTGTCGGCAATCCATTCCATTTCAATCACAGGATCTGATCGGCTCCCCTTTGCTGGGCATCCGACAGATATGCCGGGCGCAATGCAATGAGCACAACCGAACTCAGTCTTACACATGAACTTACATGCTGGATTCGTACCTTGGTTCATACCTTCAACGGTTGACCTCAGCATTTTAGCTGTCGCCAAAGCATCCCGAACATCCTGCCCATCAGGTTTGGGCTTGTAGTTAACAGGAAATTCTTCACTGAAAACCCTCGGCTCGATTTCAACCTCACGCCACTTGGAAGATTCAGGGGGCGTGGGAATGTAGTGATACTCAGGAGCATTCGAGAATCGCACAGATGCCAGAGCAACGTGAGCGGTGCTTGCACACGAGTCAATGAAGTTCGGCATTTCCTTCCGGAAAGCGTGTGCATCGGCTTGGGATGCCGAACCTGCGACAAGTGCGCCTAAGAGGCAGACGGCGGCCGGAAGCGAAGCCTTAGGTTTCCGCCCCCCCGAGCCCTTGCTGTTCCCAGAGCCTTTGCTCCCCTTGGAGCCTCCACTACCCTTGGAACTTTTAGAGCTGGAGCGAGACTTCTTCCTATGCTTCTTTTCTTTCTTCTGTTTCTTACTCTTCTTTTCGCCGCTAGACTCTCTACCGCTACCAGTGGCAGGAGCAGAAGGCTGGCCTTTGTGTATGAAACGGCACTTGTCACCCTTGTTGCATTTACCATGCTTGAAGAATTTGCACTCAGCATTAATCTTCCCAGGAGAAGGGCTCCCCCTTGCGGAGGGCGACTTGCCTCGGCCTTTACCTTTGCTTGGTGTCCTACCACGTGGCTTCTCGGGTATCTGATGCTTATAGGAACATTTTTCTTTGTTGCACGAACCGTTTCGAACAAAGTCAATGCAGAAGCCTTTGGGCACACGCTTTAGCGGTGCGGGTGCCGATGGCATACCTGCTGCAGCCTGCCTTGCAATCCGTTCCCGGTTGCGCTCAAGCCGTTTGATCTTGATGACTCGGTTAACGGCATTGTACAGGTATTCATAGGATTTCTCCTGTGTGCCGTCTACTGCCCTTTCATAGATGGCTATGTCGTGCGCCAAAAGCTTACACTTCTTAACCTGTCTATGAAACAAGGGTTGCAAAACATCGTCAGCAGGTGCTTTCTTCATGCCCGAGAGGACAGTATCCCAGTTACGCACGAATTGCACAAGGTTTTCGTTAAGCATGACGACGTTGAGCAGATCCTCCATATCGTACACAGACCCGTGGAGTGCGTTGGTCGACAAATAAGCGTTGAGCTTATGCAGAATCTGTCGGCCACGAACTAAGCGTCCTTCGTGTCCTTCCCTCTCTTTAAAAGTGTCAATCTGGCGAGCAAAATCACCTTCCAGAATGTTTGTGATTGCCGAGAGGATCTTCGCATCAAGCGTTGTGAAACCGTTAGGATCACGAAGGGACTCTTCCGTGGTATCATCCTTCCACACTTCACCGAGCCACTCGAAAGCCTCATCGGGACGGTCAGAGGCGGCGACCACAGCCTCGCGTGCGCGAAGCCTCCAGTTACGATAGTTCTCTGGCTGGGGAAACTTTGGAAACACAATCTTCTCAGCTTCCTTCACCTTAGGCCTTCCCCTTGTCGCCTCGGTTTCCTCGACATCATCCTTGTCTTTCTTCGACTTAACGACTTTCTTGAACATCTTCAGGAGGTCCTTTTTAGATAGGGAGATAGACGACGATGATGATGAATCAGATGAGTCTCTTTTCTTTTTCTTCTTTTTGTCCTTTTTCTTTTTCTTCTTCTTGTCACGGGAATCGTCATCGGGCTCATCCCCGTCGCCGTCGCTTTCGGGAGGCGAGTCATCTCCACCTCCACCTGGCGGGCCACCATCTACTTTACCCAGACCCGGAGGGGTATGAATAGGGTGTTCAATGGGAGACTGATCTCCTACGGCAGTTGGTGAATATGCCGTGGCTTTCGCCAGGCGATCACGAAGCTCGGCATTGGTGCGCTCAAGCTTCGTCATCGATTCAGCCTGTTGGCGATGTACTTGCATGAATGCACCCATCTCAGACTTGAGTTGGTTTAGTTCGCCATTCATGACTGCAACGGTGTCTTGGCTAGCCCGACTTCGATTAGCCAGCTCTCTTTCAGCTTGGGCTACAACGTCGGAGACTGTAACCTCAGCCTGATGAAGCCTGAGCTTGTAGTCAACGGCTTCACGTCGCATCTGCGACAACTCGTCGCTGTGCTTATTAGCCATGCTTTCGCCGGCTGCTCGAAGCATTTCTTCTTTCTGTTGCAGACGACTCTCCGCTTGGGCAAACTCCAACCGAAGTTGGGCAGCACCGGATAGCGCCTGTGCATGAAGCTGGTTGAATTGCTCCCTATGCAAATTGTTTGCTTCTGCCATGATCAATCTGTGGCGTGCTTCAGCTTCAGCTGCAACGGCTGGTCCTGTGTCTACTTGATGCACATGGACTGCTTGTTGCACCGTTGGCGCAAGGACATTTTGTTGATAGTAGTTCGCGACGTTTCTGATCTCGCTGGGTGAATATTGGGCCGCATTATATTGTTGAGGCGATCCCGCCAGGGATGCGAGTTGGTGCGCTGGGCTTGAGACATATGCCCATTCTGACACCGCTCCTGGTGCACCTCTTCGGGGATCCGGTTGGGCCATCACGGCCAAGGCCTCTGCCGTCAGAGGAACAACTTGGCCACCCTCTCGGGTACCGGGGACAGCCGGATCCGTGCCATCGTCTTGGACGGACATGGCAGGAAGAGAACTGAGATCCTCGGTATCGACGCGAGCCGCGGAAATGTCTATCGCGGGAATACCTGCAGGATTTACGGGAGCATCCATCGCGATCTACAAACGAAGTGAGACCTACGGCTGATAACCTATATTTACAGGCAGAACAGCCTGAATGCAGACGCATATTTTCTTGAGCCAATGAACGACAGTAGGTGCAGGTGACTAGCTACATCTTCCACAAAATACAATGATTAGGGTATACGGTTTGAGGTTTGGGGCTCAGGGTTTCTACAATTGTCTAAGCTTCTATATCGTAAGGCGTCCAGTTAGGGTTGCGAATTTTTGGGGTTTGAGTTTCGGGTGGTTCTACAAGGGCAGATTTCAAGGGCCTAACCATGAATTGAAACAGGCTTGGCATGGCGGCCTAATGCACACGAAAGCCCTAAACCCTAAACCTCAATACAGTATTACTGCAAGAATAAAAATAACGATACTCATATAAACAACAATAGTGATTATTAATTAATACTAATAAATGTAACAATAACCCTTATTTATAACAATACTAACAATGGTTCCTGTGTAATCCTTGAGGGAGGAGCCTGAAGTGCTTACCTGGTTCAAAACGCCAAAGCTACCAACCCATTCGCGGTCTGGCAGTGAACTTCATCCAACACCACCGGGCAAGTACCAACCTGAGCCAGAGCATACAATTAAAACTCAGTCACTGAGTTGATAGCTCTGTTGGTCACCTCACCCTCACCCCGAGCCACATGGTTCACAAACACGTCCGGGACGGTTGGCTTCCTGGCCTCGGCGGAGTGCTTAGCCAGAGCGTTCCACTTCACCCAAGGAAGACACCGACGTGGTGGATTCCCTTGAGTGATTGGAGCCCAGTCACCAGGTCCGTCAGGATCTGCCAGGAGACGGCTTCTCTGGCAAATCTCCGGCGATGGCATCTTGCAGTCTTGACACAAGCGAGCCTGCCTACCCTAGGGTAGAGAATCCTTGGCTCAAAGGATCGGATGACCCTGCCCCCAAGCGCCGATGATATTGCTGCACGGCCCGTCCCGAAGGTTCGGCTGAACGGGTAGCTCTATCCGGCTCTTCAGCCAAAATGGTTGAGGGCTTAGGGTTTAGGGTTGAGGGTCTAGGGTTAGGGGTTTAGGGGTTTAGGGGTTTAGGGGTTTAGGGGTTTAGGGGTTTAGGGGTTAGGGTTTAGGGTCTAGGGTTTAAGGATCCCAGGAGTTTACAAAGGTGTCTTGAATCTCTCTACGGGATTCATCCAGGTCTTGTAAGGGTTTTTCCGGAAACTTCTTGAAGCCTCCATAGAGTTTTGTGTGGGTTCATGTTGCGGAAATTGGCCTCAGTCACCACAACAAGAAAATATGGAGTTTACTGCATATTCCTGCGACAATGGTTTAAACAAAGTTCGATCGTAGCAAGACAATTTAGGAAGCCGTGGGTTTACAGTTAAGTTAATGTAGATGTCTCAATGATTCGAGAAGGGTTTGGGGGCAATTATATGATTGTACATAAAACAATATTCAGGAGCCCTAGGAAATCATGCAAGGCTTCTGCATTACGGGCTTCCGAGAAGCAGGACTCACCCAACCCGAGCCTTCTGCAAGCACTTCCCTGTCAGAAAGCCCGGCCAGAAACGAAATTTCGAGACTTCAAAACGCAGGCTTAGGGTTCAAGGTTTGGGGTGCCAGAGCAGTTAAAGAGGACTTACACGACGTTTCTATACTAAGGCTGACCAGTGCCGCGGCAGCCGCCGAAAAGTGCAATTTGTGCGTGGTCGTCATGACCGTCGTGGTGTGTTATCACTGCTTGGGGTTTTACACCGGGATAATGAAAGCTTCTGAAAAATGAAAAGTGTTTGCATCTACACGCACAAATATTGTATTGGCAAGGGCTTTGCAATGCTTCGACGAGGAGTTCACAAGGGCCCAAAGACCTACTTTTAAAACCCTGATAGACCTCCCAGTATATTCTCAGCTTTATAGAACCCCTAAACATGACAAACTCTTATGAGCTATGAACCAACAAAAGCAAATCGAACTTGTATAGAGAAAACCGATAGAAACGCTGCAGAGCCCACCACGGGGTGCTGGGTTTCAGGCGAATCCGTGTGGGCGCCAATCATCGAGAAGCCGGACTCCTCACGGTTTATGGGCTTTAACTGGCTTAGGGGCTTTTGGGTTTGGGGGTGTTGGGGGTTTTCGGGCTTTAGGGTTTTCAGGGGTTCAGGGTTTTGGAGGGTTTAAAGTTTTGCGTTTTAGGCATTTTGGGGTTTAGGGCTTCTGTGGTTTAGGGTTTAGGGGTTTAGGGGTTTAGGGGTTATTCAACCTTCAACAGAGTCGAGGGCTTGGGTTCTAGGATTCTAGGGTTTAGGGGAACGCTTGTGGTTCAGGGTTGAGGGTTTAGGTTTTAAATATCGGGTGAAACGTTTCAGCTTCAGGTTTTGGCGTTTAGGGTGGAGGCCTTGGCTGCGGACGTCGCTGGATTCGCTCACCAGCCAAGAAAGCCTCCTCTAACAAAATGCACGTACAGCTTTCGGTTTAAAGGGTTTGCTTCCTCGAGGTTCCTCAAATAAAGCATCCAGCTGAAAACATCCAAAGTGTACAGTATTCCGGAGCCCTAGCTAGAAAGCTGAATATTAACGGGAAAACTATTAACGATGTTCAAAGGAGCCCTACACTGCACCCCAAGCCCTCTGTAAGCCCACTGAGATACCGAAGTTTGAACACCCTAGGCCACGCCCGTCTTTATACCGCCCTACCCCAAAATCTAAACCCCTAAACAACCCTAAACCCCTAAACCCCCGAAGCCCTAAACCCCTAAACCCGCAAATTCCAAAACCCCCCGAATCCTAAACCCCTCAACCCTAAACCCTAAACCGTGGGCTCAGGGACCCTTGCTTCCTCTGGGGAGAACTTCCCACCCACCACGAAGGCCATGACGTCAGCGCCACCCTTGGTGACGTAGTACCTGCGGTTCGGGCTATGGTGTTTTGAGGTATCTGGGTTTAGAGATTTCGGGGCTGTAGGGGTTTTAAGGAGTAGGGCTAAGGGTTCATTTAGGTTTTGCTATAGCTTCCCTAGTCTGGGCAGCGCCTCGAGAGTGTTTCGGGTAGCGGATGTATCCCGAAACTCTAAATCCTGTACGGTCCTCTGTCCCTTCAAGTAAAACCCTAAACCCTAAACCGACCTACTGATCCAGCCTTTTGACTTCTCGGGGTGGCTGGCCCCCAGTGGGTCCCATCCAAAGCCCCCAAACAACGGGCTAAGCTGCTAAGCCTAAGGGTCTACTCATTGTTTTGGGATCGCGGGTCACTTTTAGGTAACTTTAGGTACACGTTCAAGGTTCAAGGTTTAAGGCTGTAGGATTTAAATTTGGGGATAGGGATCTACGTCAGGATTCGGGACTTTCGGTCCTGTCTCGGTGTCAGAAGCCGCGAATGAAGACTACTTGCATGCTTCGGGTACGGCTTTCGAAAAGTGTAATTAAACGTAAACCCTAAACCCAAAACCCTAAACGACACTGAAACCTAAGCTTAGGCCCGGAGTCCAAAGCCTCAGCCGGTGGGGCTTTCGAATGAAAGGGCACTTGGAACCCTAAACCGTGAACCCTAGCTAAACCCTAGAAACCCTAAACCCTAGAAGCCCTAAGCTTTGACCCCTAAATACCCTAGAAGCCCTAACCCGAAACTCTAAAAGCCTTAAGCCCTAACCCTAATAAACCCCAAAAGGGCACTTGCCGCCCTTGGCCAGAGACCAGCGTCCGCCATCCGGAAGCTCCTAACCCCGTTGGAACCAAGTCATGTGTAGGGCCTCGGGCTGAGGGCTTAGGGCCCAGGGTTGAGGGGTCTAGGGTTTAAGGCTTAGGGTTTAGGGTTTAAGGTGTGCCGAGCATACTTCCGTGGTAGGTGTGTTTTTGTAAGGGGAGGGAAGGCAATCGACGGACGTCCGATATCTTCAACGCAAACGTGTTCCGTCACGAACGTGGAGCTCTACATTTTCCCACCCCGAGAGGCCACCCAGAGCTTTTGTAGTAAGCTTAAGTTCTTAACCGTACCCACGACCCAGTAATTGAAGCAGAGTTTAGAGCAGCCACACGAAAAGAACGGCCCTGTTTTGCTGCAGAATGTGGCCTTCACTGTTTTGGGCTCACACGGACCCCGGATGGTTTAGAGCAGGCACACGAAAACAACGACCCTGTTTTGCTGCAAAACGTGGCCCCGACCAGCTTGGGCACACACGAGCACTCGAGGGTCCATTTTTCGATCCTAAACTCCCAGGGACGGAGCCTGGGATTGGGAAGGCGGTCTAAAGCAACCACACGAAAAGAAAAGAGGGGACCTCCAGATTGGCACCTGGCCCACATTAACATGCACAATTTATGAACAGAATTTAGTAAGTAAACCCCAGCACCAGTTTCCCAGGTTTCTGGAGGGCGAAGCAGAGTTTAGAACAGCCACACGAAAAGAACGGCCCTGTTTTGCTGCAGAATGTGGCCTTCACTGTTTTGGGCTCACATGGACACCGGATAGAGCAGGCACACGAAAACAACGGCCCTTTTTTGCTGCAGAATGTGGCCCCGACCAGCTTGAGCACACACGAGCACTCCAGGAAAATCCGCGTCTAGACGGTAAGGGCGGTAAGGGTTTAGGGTTAGGGAATACAAATATGTCTTATTATATTGACAGTACTGTCGTTTGAAGTATGAAGGACTACGTGTACACAGACAAGCACTTACCTGTAAATGGCTGTAATTATGTACCATAATTACCATTTACCTCTAGGTAAGACTAGAGAGTCATGTGTTTACGTTCCGTACAGTACAAGGTGTGGTACGCTCCTGCACGTGAGAAGGCTTAAGCTGAGCATTCAGGCATAAGCTTTGAGTTTAGGGTTTAGGGTGCCAGGGTTGAGGGGTTTTTAGGGTCTTGGGCTTTTAAGGCTTTAGAGCTTTTAGGGCTTCAGGGCCTTAGGGCTTAGGGTTAACATGTCAAGCTTACGGCCTACCTAGATTCCCAACTACCCTCTAATATACACCAAATACCCAGTAGTAGGGACCATAAGGGCTCCATTAAAGGGCGCTTGGGGAGTCCTGGTAGGGAAAAGGGTTTTGGGTTTAGGGCGTATGGGGTTTTGTAGGGTTTATCATGTGCCTGTTGTGGGTTTTGCCAAGCCGTAAAGCCCTTACACGGCTAGTTATGAGACTGAGGTAGTTATAAGATCCTACCTTTTGCACCCTAAACAAACCCCTAAACCCTTCAACCGCAAACCTGAAATGACGACGTAAAACCTACCCTTGCAGAATCCTCAGAGGAAGACTTTCAAAGAACCCTAATACCTAGCCCCGTGTCGATCATTGTTCATCAAGTAAGCACGTTGACGCCTTAATGTGGTGGTCTGCATAACTCGACGAGGGCTTGAGGAGCTTATGCTAAAAGGTACAAACGGACCGTGGAGCAGTTAATTACTAGTCATCCAGGCGCCTAGATTTGAATGCTTTGTCCAGGGCTCTGTAAGGGGTTCCTGCTAAGGTTGCGTTAACGGTTCCACTCGGTTTTTGTTCAGTCGCGAAATCGTATGCCATCTCAGGTAGTAATTAGTTAAGATGTCCCTTCTCCCTCGCTGGTTTCCCCTACACCAAAAAGCTTGCAAATCACGCAAACCTCATTCCCCTAAATCAATGCTGCAGGGTTTAGGGTTTGAACCCAGCGAAGGCGACGTCCGTCCTTGAAGCCGGCAGCGCGCAGGAGGGCTGAGCAGGCCGACACACAGTGATACCTGAAGCGAAGTTCTTGTTAAGGGGTTTGCCATAATCAGGAAGCAATATTATGTACTATAGACCCTTTTTGTGGTAACTCAAACCTTAAACCCTTGAAGGAACCCGTGTACAGATCTCCTAAAGGAACCCTTATAGATCTCCTAAAGGAACTGTGATAGATCCCTATCAGGGTATCTTACGTGAAGCTAAGACGTCCATCGATAATGGATTTTCAAAGGAGTCTGTGATCGGGTTTAGGATCTAGGGTGGAGAGGGTCTTGATAAGGGCTCTACTTACAGGCGTTTTAATGAAAATGCCGGATGCTTCTGCAAGGGACTTACCTGACCAGTTTCTCTGACAATGCCGTAAGCCATAAATCCTCAACTCCTTAACCCTTTCACGAAACAACAGCTCGAGTGACTTCGAGGAGGAAAGCGATAATTGTCAGCAGCAGCCGCAATATGCAGCGGCAGCAGCAGCGGGGGCAGTAGCAGCAGCAGCAGTAGCAGGGGCGGCAGCAGCAGGAGCAGTAGCAGCAGCAGACGCAGTGGCAGTGGCAGTGGCAGTGGCAGTACAGGAGCAGCAGCAGGAGCAGGAGCAGCAGCAGGAGCAGGAGCAGGAGCAGGAGCAGGAGCAGGAGCAGAAGAAGTGGCAGTGGCAGTAGGAGTAGCACTTTTATCAGCGGTAGTGGTAGCAGTAGCAGCAGCACTAGCAGCACTACAGCAGTAGCAGCAGTGGTAGCAACAGTAGCATGACGAGTAGTCCTAGTAGCAAGTTAGCAGGAGTCCTATAGTTGCAGTAGTCCTACGAAAAGCAGCGCTAGTAAGCTAGTAGCTGTAGTGATGGCGTTTTTCTTAGTACCATGACTTGCAACGGCAGCACCAGCAGTAGCGGGGGCAGTGGAATCAGCAGCGGTGATGGGAGCAGCAACAGTCGCCGCCACCAGCCAGAGGAACACAACAACCTTCATTTTGAGTTCAGACTGCCGGGTTTCCGACATCCAGGTGCCAGCAAGTTTACATCACCAGCGCCCGCACCAGCACAAACAGCAGCACCAGCACCAGCATGTGCAAGAGCACCGCGGCTGCTGCCACAACCACGACGACTGATATTTTTGCCACGACGACGACGACGTCAAGGACGAGGACGAGGACTGCTTCCACTACGATGGCCGTGACTATGCTTCTGCTGCTGGTGGTGTTGCAAGTGTCCTTCGTCTTCGGCATAGTTTGCCATGGGTATGAAATGGTATGAGCATGACACTCCAGCCTGAACCTAACAGGCTACACTCTAAAACAATACCGTAAATATCAAAAGAACTCTTTTAACAAAACAACATAACAAACCATGCAAAATACCCTAAACTCAACGTAAAACTGAGCCGTAACCACTGGGGTTCTGAGGAGGTGGCGGTGAGCCGGTTTCGTTCACATAGTCAATGAACAGCTTTGCTGCCTCGTCCACAAGCGTATTGTTTACAGCTTTGGATCCATGGCTTAGGACGTAGACATTAAAGGCTATCTGGTCCTATGCAGTTTGGAAACACCTTTGGGTTTCCTATCGGAACTGATTATGTCTGAACATGCGTACTGCGGAGCATGTACCGGAAAAACTAGTACATATTAACCTCGGGTCCCAAACATTACACTCTGAATGCTAGCTGGTGTCTACAATCCTGCTGCACGGGCAATTGGACTTGCAGGAACAAAAGCTTTTAGTTTCGGTGCTGTTACGTGTCAGCGCTTGATACATGCAGTGTAGATGCCTAAGTCCCTCATAAAGCCAATCATAGAAGCCGTTAGGGAGCACTGTAACTACGTGTATTATTGCATGTTTCCCTAAGGACGTGATGTAGGAACACCTTCAGGCCAAGGCAAATGCCTGCAACGCGAGTACTCTGCTCGTGGTTGAAGTGTTCAGAAGCTTGGATTCTTTCCTGTTGCTTCTTTGGGATGACCGACGAATTTTCAGGCTTAGTAGGCCTTAGGAGTTCACTGTAACAACGTCCCAGGTACGCATTGCTATTTCCAGGAGATAAGGAACTAAACCCTACGCCCGAAGCCCCCTAAACTCGACCCTTCTAGAACACTTGGAGGATCATGAGACTTAGTAAGTACGGTTATAAGTACCCTAAGTGGGGTAAAAGTAATTAGAAGTATAGTTACAAATTATAACCTTAGTTACTAAGTCCCATGATCCTCCAAGCCTTGGCTTTAAAGGAATCTTCAAGCCATGGCTCCTCTGTCTTGCAAGATGATCTGAAGCGACTGGAAGTAGTACATAAACGAGAGGGCTTTAGGGTTTAGGGTTTAAGAGTACTTCCGTAAGTGGTGGGAATGTGGCGGTGATACCCCACGGTGTCGCCATGTTGGCCATGGCGGCATGAAGACTGGTCGGAACCGCTCGCAGCTTTGCTTCTCAAGTTCACCAGGGGTGCCCGTATTCTGGGTCATTACGTGGCCCACAGCTGAGCACGAGACACAACGGAGGGACAAAAACAACGAACAGGGTCCGGCCAGCGGAGGGATGGATTGGGGGGGAGACCCCACAGCAGCACGCGACACACACAAAGACCCGGAACCCAGAACCAGCTGTCCGGTTTACGGTAGCGTGTCCCTGTGTTGCTGAATGGCTGCAGAGCCTATGATCTGCTAGCGCCATGACCCTGCTCTCGGGTCGCCAAAGCCCAGACCTTCCAAAATCCCTTAATTAAGGAATATCCCTTAAATTATAGTAGGATCCTTCATATGATTTAAGGTATACTCCTTAATTAAGGGATTTTGGAAGGTCTGGGTAGCTATGGTGATGGGAGTAGGTACTTAGGCCTTAAAGTACCGATATAGGGACCCCTTCAAGGCCTAAGCACCTACTATATGGGTACATGGAGCCTTTGGGTAAACCCCTCACCCCATCAATCTCTGCGACCCTAAACCGTACTTATAAGTCCCTAAAATAACCAGTTGCTAAGTCCCCCGACCCTCCAAGTATAGGATCCGGCTGAGTCAACACGCCATGACCCTGTGGCTCAAGAGCCTGAGGGATCCTGTCACCGAGCAACACCCTGCAGTTGCGGGTTTTAGGGTTTAGGGTTTAGGGTTTAGGGTTTGGGGCTTAGGGTTTAGGGTTTGGGGCTTAGGGTTTAGGGTTTTGGGTTTAGGTGGAGTAAGAGGCCGTAAACAGCTGCTGTCGTGAGAGGCTTTCGGGTGGATCTTTGGCAGCTGCGAGAGTCCACAAAACTGTGAGATTCTCGGTCAAGAGTCCTCACCATGCGTCGGCTCTTACGACGCGGCTCACTGCCGAACCTGGCAGCCAGCTGCGCTTCGGCCGGCTAAACCCCAAAACTCCAAAAGCCTAAATCCTGAACCATTAACCCTAGCATATACCTGTAAACCCACTAAACCTGACAACCCAAAGACGAAACCCGAAACCCCTAAACCCACATGCAAGTTCAGCCTCCTTAGGCAAAGCCCTCTTGCGGGGCTCTTAAATTAAAGTAGGGTTTAGGGTTTATGGTGGAGGGCTCTAGGGGCCTCAACTATTTGATGACATGCTTTGGGGGGTATATAAAATTCAGGGCCATGATGGCGAACCCTCACGAATACAACTGGAAACCATGTCTAATTCCAAATAGTGTTCCTAAGTACTATACTTCAGGCTTCTATGTATTACCCCCGAACCCTGGTTTGTGCGGGTGCCTTCGCAGCTTCTGCTTTAGCCATGTCCTCGCAAAACCAGGGCTTCGAGGGGTCCGGCTTCCTTGGCTCTGGTGTATGAAGCTTAGTTGAGGGCTTACGATGTAGTCAGAATCTACGGTTAATGATGGTTATAGAAACAAGACTTATAGATGGATTTAGGATTAGGAACACGTAGTCTGGTGGCGGAGAATCACGGTCGCAGCAGGGTCCGTCCCACTGTTGGGTCCGCATGGAAGCGCCGCTCAGTACGACACACAGCATACAGGCATGGCGACTAAGTTATTGGATCAAGGGAGGGAGGAGGGTTCCGCAACCCCTAAAAACGGAGGAGCCTAAATCCTAAGAGCCGAATGGTCTAGACCATGCTGTGGCTTCAGGGTTCAGGGCTTAGCATGTGCCTCACAACCTAAAACCGGGAGCCTGAACGCAGCCAAAAGCACGTGCCCTAACTGTTAGGAAACTCTGGTAAGCCTCCATGAGGAATCTAAACCCTGCAATCCCGGGCCTTCATATCTTGAATAGGGTGTTGGGGTATGATAGTATGGCAGACGACTATGGTTACATTACGGAGCCACAGGGAATAATTCACGAATATATAAGACCCCTCTTTGCACCCAAGGACACAATAATGGAGGATCCCTCTTCTGCACCACTGAACGCAGCATCACTACAATCTGTACCTGCTCCTTCCAAACAGTCGAGACGCTTAGGGTTGAGGACTCCCTGGAGATCCTTGTGTCACTCACTTCCCAGAAACAAAGAAAAATCAAAACTCCCTGAACTCTAAGCCCTGACAACAACCTCAACTGCACCTGGGGCCTCAAAACACCTCTACTTGGAGGATCATGGGACTTCGTAAGTACGGTTATACATACCCTAAGTGGGGATATAAGTAACTATAAGACTAGTTACCTTACTTATAACCCTAGTTACTAAGTCCCATGATCCTCTAAGTAGACCCTAAACCCTAAACCCTATAGATCCCATTAAGGAGCCCTTTAAGGAACCGTAGTTACCCTGAGCCCGAGCCCTACGAAACCAGCAGCATAAAACTTTCAGACAACACTCTCAAAAGGTGAGCTTCAACTCCAAACCCCAAATCCCTAAAGCCCTCAACCCTAAGCCCCCCCTAACCCCAAAATCCTTAAAGCCCGGAACCCTAAACCCTAAATCCTAAACTAAACCCTAAACCCTAAATCCTAAACCACACCCTAAACCCTAAATCCTAAACCCTTAACCAAAAAAAAGAACGCAGAGTGCTCTTCGGGTCCTGGCTGCTACCGCAGACGCCACAAGTGGCGTCGGCAGTTGGGTCTGGAGCCTCGGGGGCCTCCAGGATTTTAGGGTTTAGGGCTCTGCAGAAGAAAGGATCATGGAACTCAGTAACTAGGGCTCCTTAAAGGGATCTAGAGGGTTCCTTAAAGGGATCTATAGGGTTTAAGGTTTAGGGTCTACTTAAATGATTATGGGACTTAGTAACTAGGTTATAATTAAGGTAACTGTACAGAAGAAGCCCAAAAGTTGGAAACCCAATAGCCTCAATCCTTAAGAGTAATGTATAAGGAATCCCGCCACTATCTGGCCTTAATCCGGTTTCCGACTTTAATGGGTTTGCTTTAGGGCTGTATAGGACATGCGGGTTTTCAGGTTTAGGGGTCTAGGGTTTCGGGGTTCAGGGTATAGGGTTTAGGGGCTTAGGGTTTAGGGTTTAGGGCTATGGGGATTAGGGCTTAAGGTTCCTAGGGCGTTAGGGATTAGGGTTTCTATGGTTTAGAGATGTTTAGAGTTTGGAGGGTTTTGCGAACTTAACTTGTTTCTGTAAGGGCAGAGTGTAGGACTTCGGGTTCCTTTAACGGGATCAATGTGGTCTGAGGTACTATTAGGGATTAGGGCCTAGGATTTAAACCCATAGATCCCTTTAAAGAAAACCTAGACCTAAGAGTAACCTAGGAATAAAAAGGGTGCCCTTTTTGGTTTAAAGGGGCTTATACGGGGACCTGAACCCTAAAACAAGGGAATAAGGGCCTACTCTGGGTCCTAGTTAACGAGAACCTAGATCCGGCATGTTTATGCATTTTCTTCGCTTCATGTTGCACATCGAATTCGCTCCGGTGCAAGCCTGACATCTCTGTTGAGGAGTCGTACCTTAACCTACCAAAACCTACTTTTTTGTAGGGTCCCTATAAATTCAATATGAGGGTTTAAAATAAGAACCTATAAAAAAGTAGGGTTTAGTAGTTTAAGGTACCTATAGTCTGGATTGTAGTTCCTTCTTTGGGTTTAACCAATTCTATATTAAGGATCCTGAAAGGTAACCCCAAAAAGGAACTACAATGGAGACTATAGGTAGTTGCCAAGTTCATAATCCAAGAAGTTGAACTTCGAGCTTTACCCCGTTCTAGTTAAGGAATCTACTGCAAATCACCAACCTCAACAGCCACGTCTAATGCCCGAGTCACAGAAGCTGGCCTGAGCTAAATCCTAAACTTGGGGTTTAAGGGTGTAGGATATGGGTTCCTAAACCGGGCAAGACAAAATGATGCCGAAAGAAACCCAGGGAACGATAGCAGGCCATGCAAATTCTTGCACCCGAAACCCGACAGCCCTGCACCCCTGTAAAATCCAAAGACATGATTGAGGTGTGTGTAGGTTCCGCAGCAGCTCCTTTTCCTGAACGCTCATTCTAGCAATGAGCCCCAAAACATTAAGGAAAAAGAGGGCCACCGGGGAACGAGGGTACAAGTTAGTTCAAGAGACGCAAACAAGCCTTTGTAGCTGGAGTAGGGTTTTGGGTAAATGATACCTCATTCATGTTTCGAACAATAAAGGGAATACCACTGCATCACTACGAACTACTCAGACCCCCATAGTCTGCGTAGATTCAACCCAGTGAACTTGCCTATAACTCTGCTCACCCAGTCCTGATCCTATAAGTTCTCCGGAACCTCAATACCAACTCATGCAGCCTTAGAAACCACTGCAAAACTTTATGACTAAGCACTGTGTCACACTAGCATAAAAGCCTAGAAGACCCGTTTATCAAACCTTCTTCGGCCGTTGCTTCTGAGCCCAGAGAGTCCTAGGTGTGCAAAAGACTCATTCGAACTAGGGCGCTGGTAACGAAAAGGCAGGCGCAGCCGTAGGGTTCAAAGCGGACATTGTTGCCGAACACCTGAAACCCTAAATCCTGAACCCTAGACGCTAAAGCCGTGTTTTTCCAGAACTCTGTGAGATCTTTAGTAGTTAGAAAAGGTTTGGGGGGCATACGCACCATGGTTCGGAACACAGAAGCGACTTTTGGAAGAATTATCACGATTCGCTTCGTAAAAAACCTCGTCGCCCAAGCTTTGGGATGTGGGAGGTTATCAGTTCGAGAGTTCCCCCCTTGACACATGTCTGCTGTGCAAAAATAGCTAGTGCAGCAGGACTCTTTAGGATTCGCTCCGTATGCGGAGAGTACTGCTGGGCACCCTACTGTGAGACGAACTATTGACAATGAGTCCTGCCCTAATCTTAATGTCCGCAACCACTGAACCCTGAATCCTAAAACCTCAGCTCCTAAGCCAGCAAACCACAAACCCCCTAAACCCTAGACCCTAAGCCAACCCTAATAGCTGCCAAGATGGCTTTTGGGATGAAGTTTAGGGTTTAATAGGGCTTAGGGGTTTAGGGTTTAATTGGGTTTAGGGTTCAGGGTTTAGGGCCTAATAGGGACTGGGGATTAGGGCTGTGGGTGCGTGTTTCAGTCGCATGGCTGCTGTCCTGCATTCCACCAGCTGTGCATGGATGCTTGGCAGACAACTTCTCCGAGAATGTTGCTTAGAAGTATAGATGCCGGACAAAAACTTTGGTTAAAATAAACCTATATTGCTTTGGGGCACAGTGTGCTATTATCATACCAAGAAACCCCCCAAAAGCAGAATAGGAAATTATTCAGGGGCAGTTTGAATAGGGCTTTGGCCCAGTATACTATAGTTACTATACTCATAATAAGGACCCCCCCCCCCAAACAAAAAAAAAAAAAAAGGTAGTATAGATAGTTATCAAAGCCCCTATATAAGTATTCTTTTCAAACTGGGAGTTCGGAGCCGGGTTTGGGGTTGCGGGTGCGTGATGATTGTCCCCAAAAGTTTCACGGTTTAGGGGTTTAGGGGTTTAGGGTTTAGGGTTTTAATTAGGGTTTAGGGTTTAGGGATTAGGGGTTTAGGGTTTCGGGTTCAGGGTTGAGGGTTCAATTAGGGTTCAGGGTTTAGGGTGTACGGTTTAATTAGGGTTTAGCGTTCAGGGTTTAGGGTTACCTTGTCAACTGTGACTATGACAGGTTGCCTTCCAAGCGGTGACATGAAACAAATGCGGCATCAGGGAGCTCCCATCGCAGATGCTGGTCTTCCAAACCCTAATTATGGGCTGTAGGGTCTAGATTTTAGGCTTTAGGGCTGGGGTTTCAGAGTTTAAAGGTTTAAGTCTTGAACGCATGTAATGGGTTTAGGGTTCAGCCAAGCCCGACTTCTTGGTAGCACTTGCTCCACATTTGGATCTTTTCCTTGTGCCGTCACTATCACAACCCTGTAATATGTCTGATTGAACACGGTACGTCAAATGCCGACTTCAGAGAAAAGCAACCCATACAGCCCTATCCGCCCAAACCACACAATCCCCAAAACCCGCGTCAAATCTTGCTCCTCTGCATAAGTTTCCTTGTTTTTTCAAAACTCCACATAGAACCCTCCTTTTGCAACCCCTGTGAAGCCCTGCTAGAACCCGGAAATATCTGGCAGAGCCCGGAGAGGGGATCGACAACAGTGCCAAGGGTTTTTTAACCCTGGCCCCTAAACCCTAGAGCCCTAACCCCAGATCAGAAGAGGAACGGAATCTGGCACCTTGTAAGGGTTTCTATGATGATTACTACAAGGCTTCATAGGTTGATGTTCTAAGTGGGTGTAGAAGTAGGGGAACCGTAATTATATTTTTGGTAGCCCACATTAACTAGGGGACCTATAGCCCCACTTATCACTACCCATGAA